AGCATTTTATCCATCATAAAAATAGAGATTCTCAAATTATACATTCTTGCAGTAGAGGAATCTGGGAGTTAAAATGAACTAGATCTATGTGCAACAGTCATGTTTTAAAGAAATAATATTGGTTGCAAACAGAAACTCATACGCTGAATTTCAAACATAGAAGAGGCCATAATAAGAGGTAACAAACCTTGTCTAGGAGGGGCTGAAAGTTATTGACATTTTGTGCGGGAGGGTCTATTACAAATAGCCCTTATTCCGTTAGAGCATGAACACAGCCACAGACAGTGCAGAAATGAGAAGTGTGTCTCTGTTCCAGTAACATTTAGTTAATAAAACAGAGGACATGCCGACAACACCTTTATCGTAACACTTGGGAGACAAAGACAGGGAGATCTCTGAGACTTCGAGGCCAGGCTGATCTACAGAGTGAGTTCTAGGACATCTAAGGCTACACAGAGAAACCCTGTCTTGGAAAACAAACAAACAGACAAATACACACAAAAAAAAACACCAAAAAACATAGCAAAACAAACAAACAGAAAGACAATAGGCTAGATTAAGCCTTCAGGCCCCAGTCTACTGAGCCTGAACTATACCACCCTCACCCGAATGTCATATAAAAATAGATGCAGTGTTGATATTTACCCTTCAAACTGGAGCTTACTGCTGAAAGAGAAGAGTAAAAGAAGGGAGAACATAGGGAAGACTCAATTTTAATTGTATTGTAACAGTTTGCAATGTTTTATGTATTAAGAAATATAATTAAAGAACTGGAACAAAATGTTAATGTTTGTCAAATTTGGATCGGTAGATATATGTACTAGTTACATCCGTCCATGTATTTTATATGTCTAAAAAATAAACTACTGAAAAAATGAAAGGTAAATATATCAGAACATTTAAAATAACATGAATCAGAAGAGTAGAAAGCAGAAACATTGGCAAGAATGACATTTCTTTCCAAAGACAGTCTTTGTATGTTTACTCTTCTTAGCCAGAAGCTGAATTAGCCCTGGAGAATGCCTTTCTGTTCTCAGAACTGGGAACATTTAACTGAACTACTGCATGGATGGTTTTTGGATGAAGGACAGAGATGAATCATGTCAGGGCTGAATCTTTCTCTTTATTCTCTGTAAGTGAACTAAAGGAAATTTGAGTTGAGTTGGTGCCCATCTCCATCAGGGCTGCCAGACGTCAGCCCTGCATTTTGTGGCTGGCCTCCTAGTCTCTCCATTAGATCATTTCTTGTTTCTCCTCTACTTCATTCACTTCATCCTTGTAAAGTAGTTAGTGGTAAAGTGCTTGACTCCAGAGGCAAACCTGGGTTCAAGTGTCCCTAGCTCTCTGGGCCTGCCTTATGCTGTTTATTGAACACCTCTGCATCAACTTTTTCATCTGCTGAATGTGCTGTTGCCAATAGGCTGTCCTTTCTGAGCTCCTTGTGATATCTATGAGTTAGGTATTCATAAAATGCTTACAAGATAGCCTGGCCGTAGGAAGTTATAAATTGAATGTATGAATTGAATGTAGTTCAGTGGGTTTATGTATCTATTTAATTGTGTAGATTAGCTATCCTGGAATTGTCTAGAACAGGACAATGGTGATGCCAGCATCTAAGAGTTCAGGATTAAATCCAAGAGATCAGTAATCCATTCCCAAGTGACTGAATTAGCCCCAGGGCAAATTATAAGTGCTGCGGATCCATGAGTCCTTTCTGTAAAATGAAGATAATAGCTACCCATCTCCTAGAAAAGTACTATGAGAGCCTGTTGCTGGATACAAAGGACTCCCTTCAGAATGTGGTAAATATTCACAGTCGTCAGCAGTATAATAGATACTCATGACTCATGAGTGTTTGGAGTAGTAAGCAAACACATGAAATCATGTCACAAATTTCAGAACTTCAATAGCTTTGTGAAGTAGTAGGCAAAGTATCTTTGAATCTGTCTAAATTGCCACCTGAGATGGGAGGGAATAGAGAAGGAATAGAAGCTGTTGATCTTTAGAGTCATCTTCTCAGGTTAATTCTTTGTTCAAAGGGAGAGTTTAAACCCAAAACAGGAAACGCCCTTTAAGAAGTTTCAGGATTTAAATAGCTGGGACTAAGCCAAGTTGAGTGACTGTCAATACTTGGTTTCTGATAGGAAAAGAACAGGTCCTCTATACCAAAGAAGTTACCCTTCTCAGGCCATAGTAGCCAAGGCTCAGCACTGGATTTATGAAACAAGCTTCCAGTAAAATCCATTGATTCCCACAGCAAAGCATATTCCAAATTCTCATGATGAGTTTAAGTTTGAAGTTCAGGAAACCAGTAATCTGATCCCAAGCAATGATTCTTATTTTTTTCTACTTCATTATGTTCTGGCCCCTTCTCTTAAGTCATACTGTTCCTGACACAGCAGAGAGGTCTTTAGGGGCTATTCAAAACTCAGCAGCCCCAAATCATCTATTTATTTGCTTGAGAAGGGAATAAACAAACTCTGAACCAGATCCTGGACTACTCTGCCATTCAACTGCCTGCTTTTGACCCAGCCGTATGTTTAAATGTTGATACGATAGAACACATAAAGATTTCCTGGATGTGTGTAGATTCTGATGTAGTGCAGAGCCTGAAATCGACATTTATAGCAAGCTTTCTAGGGTGCTACATGTCCACCCTAGGACATGGCCACTCATGTCGTGGTACAGCAAAGACCTTGCCCAGAAACTTCTAAGTGATGTAGAATCTCTTTCCGCTCCTCAGTTCTACTGAAGGAGCAGATGCTCTTCAGCAAAACCATGATGCAAATGCATGTGAAACTTGAGAAATGTTGTCCATACATGGACCAGGTACCCCAGAGCTTAGTTATATATTTCTTCCTTGTTCAAGGTGGCTACTGATGTTACTCGAAAATCCTAAAACACTAGTTACTATATGGGGGTAAATATTCTAGCGGGGAACTGATCATGTTCTTTCTGATTCTACTTACACTGTTAACACATGGTCTCTGCTGACTGCTCCCTTGAATGCTAGAACACACTTTGATGAAAGGAGATCAGAGTGTCCGAGGCTTTCTCTCCCTCTTCTTGTAGCCCATCACCAAAACTAAGAAGCACAATCATTTATTTCCACACCCACCTTCAGATCTGAGCTGACCTCTACACAGGGTGAGATTCAACCATTGTTGGTCTTGCTGGGACCTCGCTTGATTCTCAGCCTTCTAGCTCCTCTCTAACTATCCCTGTTTCCTCCTCTAATTTTGTCATAGAACTCTGTAATAAGCCCTATCCTTATAAAACCCCATCGCAGGATCTGCTTCTGGGAAACCCAAAGTAAGACATGCTAGTTTCTTCTGCAAAAGGGCCATAGAGCAACCATGGATCTAGAAGACCTGTGCTGACCAATCAGCAGCCACAGCTGCCAGAAATGCCTCAGATTCTGGAATTTTTTCCATTTTTTTTTTTGCAATTTAATGAGAAATCTTATCTTAAAGATAGAATTCAAGTCTAAACATGAAACTAATTTGTGTTTCACAATTACCTTCTATATATAGCATGAAGGTAATTTTTATATATTTTTATTTTTACATCTATATTGAGACTGACCAATTACATGAAGTCATGTGGATTTTCTTACTGTAATTCCCCACAGGTGCTCAAACAGGTAAAATAGTGAAATAAATCAAATATCTTAGTAAAAATTAATTTTATGTACTTTTTCCTTTTGTTATATTTGGCTACTAGCAAACTCAAACTTCCATTTGACTCACATTATATTTTTATTGAACATAATGGAAGACTTAGGTTTTTAGCCGAAAACATCAAACTAAAATTAAATTTCCAGAAATGTTTTTAATTCTTTTTGGATTTGTTGTGAAATTATCTCTAAGTCAGTAGTTCTCAACCTTCCCATTGGGCAACCCTTTAATACAGTTCCTCATGTTGTGGTGATCCCCCCTCAACCATAAAACAGAATAAAAGCATTATCCTGTTGCTACTTTCTAACTGTAACTTTGCTACTGCTATGAATCATAATGTAAATATCTGATATGTAGGACATCCTATACGAGATCCCCTAAAGGGTTCCCCACACACAGGTTGATAACAGCTGCTGTAAACAAACCCACAAAACCACACTAATACTTTCGCTGCTGCATAAAGTTACCCTAGAGAAATCCGAAGTTTGATCTTTTATTCCAGAAAGTAATATAAAGGAAACAAAGTTTTAAAAACCAGTGGCAATATTTATTGCTTGTTGAAATCATCTAATCTTAGTACAATGGCTTTCTGGGTCATTAATAACGTTGCCTTGTTGCTGTCCTGTGCGCACTTCAAGTTTGGTAGGGGGTGATCTTATCTTCCATAGCTCTCCTGTGCTGTTCCTTCTAGGCCCTCACCACATAATCTACAAAGATCAAAGCCTCAGCATTCCTCCCCTAACTGCTGCAGCCTCCTGGCTAAGATCTTTGCATGCTCAGCCTCAGATTCCCCTGTCTTTGTTGTCAGGCAATCCCCCTAGCGCCCAGCCTCATCCCGGCTCCCCTCACTGCCCATCCTGGAAATGGGCTTTTTATGCTATTACAGTTTCGCTTTCTATCTGCATCTGGCCAAGAATGAGTTAACACTGAGAAATCTCCACGATATAAGTAGTAAAGTCAGAAGTTTTTTTCAGTTTGGTTGAAAATAAATTTGCTGCATTTTAAACTTTCTGTTATTCTGTATTTGTTTATAATTCTATAAAAAAAAAAGGAAAGCCTGTACAGTCATTGAAGCACAGCAGTTTTATCAATGAGGAACTTAAAAGACAGAAAAGCATACCTTCACAAATACATTTCATTATTAAAAGATAATCACCCAGATTTGAATTTAGTTATAACCTTTTAAAAAGAAGAGGGACATGGTCGGAAGCTGTTCACTTCCAACTTGAATTAATTTGTCTGTCCTTCTCGAAGACAAGCTAAAAGCATATTTTATACCTGAATAATAGTTAAACTAATTTAAGTGTGACTTATGTCTTTCAGGAATGGACAAGTGAAGTTTTCAGCTTGGCAACAAACCTGCTGGCTCAGAACATGTCCAGAGACGCATTTCTGGAGAAAGCGTAAGTCGTTATGATTGTATTGCTAAGGGTGTTGCTTCTTCTGAATCTGTTTCCTTCCTCCTTTGTGAGTCTTTGTTTATGCTGCCTTTGGCTTCTCACATTCATAAACATACATTTCCCTTTGGGATAGGTTGGAGGACAGATTCCTCAACTGTGCAGGCTTGGAGGACTTCCAGGAGAGATGACTCTTTCCTCCAAGTGCACATCAGGCTGAGGTGGCCTGAACATGAGGGCTTTTGACGCACAAGAGAAATACCTCCAAACTCTGGCAGCTGTACTCAGAACACAGAGTTGCTCTTTCCAGAGCACCCTCTGTTGTCTCTTCTTGTGTTCTCTGTTTTAGAATATCTTGAAGAGACTGAACATTGTTATTCTAGATTAAGAGATCTTGATGGGTACCACAAGAACTTCCTGCCTCCTTCATTCAATGGGTTGGTAACGGACTTCCAGACCTTACAGAGTATTGCACCAAGCAACAGAGGAGAGAGAGAGAGAGAGAGAGAGAGAGAGAGAGAGAGAGAGAGAGAGAGAGCGCAGAGGGGCAAGCAGAAAGAAAATAAGAGGAGAAAGAAAGAAAATAAGATTAGAAAATCATCCTAGAATTGCAACAGCCTTTCAGAAAATGATTTGACCCAGGAAAACAGTGGTGCATACCAGAGGAGCAGCAGGGAGATAGGTGTGTTCCCCTGGGTGACTCAGGTGCTTCAGGAGCTTAGAGGACCTTTAACTCAAAACCACAAGCAGAAATATTAGTAGGCTTGTTTCTAATTCACTGAGTAGATTTCTCTCTTCCCTCTTGTTCCAGAGCCATACCCATTGCTTTAGATCTCATCCCAGGCATTTTCTATTTTGTTCTTATGTCAATTTTTATCGCAGGCCTTTACTCAAAGGTTTCATTGTGGAATAATCCCCTCTCCTAATTTTGTTACCTTAAGGATCCTCCCAATCTGCCTTTTCCTTTCCTTCCTCTTTTCTTTTTATCCTGTTTATCTTGCATGCCATCCTTCATCCAACAAACATTTCTAGAATATGTCTTTTTCTACACAACATTAATGAATGAGATAGAGAGAGAAATAGGATATTCAAGCTGAGACACAGCATGGTGTAACTAACTGGTCGACTAATCATAATCTACGACGAATGTCTATTCCAGACAGATGAACCCTGTGAGGGCTGCTGTGGGAATCGTAGCACATGCATTCTGATGAATGTGTTGTATACAAATCTGCATGTGGGGGTCTCTGGGTCACAGTATAGGCAGTGTCCCAAAGCAGCATTTGCTGCTGACACTCCGCTAGCAGTGGCTGAGGGTTGTGTCGCTCCAACTCTCCACCTATGTGTCTGTAGGCTGATCAGAGACAAAACCAGTCCTTATGTCCTTTGTGAATTTCTTATGAACAAACCATAGTAACTAAGCAGGATGTAGATGGATCTCAGGAACTTCACACTGAGGGAAAGAAGTCAGACCCGAAACACAACCACATTTTATGTGGAATAAAAACAAGTGACAACAAGCTCTGCTGTTGAAAGTCAAGGTGCCAACGGCGTGTGGAGATGGACTCCAGGAGAAGGCGTGAAGGGAATTCTGGGAAAGGTCTAAAAAGACATGGTCCCGTGGCACCATCCAGACGCCAATCTGGAGATTTTGACAGGCTGGTGGATTCAGCCCACTGCACTCGCATTCTGTTTCCAGTGCCTTTTAAAATGATGACTAACTTTTTTTCTCTCCCAACAGATATACCAAGCTCAAACTTCAGGTCACTCCGGAAGGGCGCATTCCTCTCAAAAAGTAAGCTCTGGCCATGTTCACCTGCTCCGTCCCTAAAACTTGAATCTATGCCATGGGTCTGACTTTTGTCTTCACCAGGTTGAGTGGGAGCCCGGAAATGGTGTGGTAACCTTGTCCTGCGTCATACTAGTCTCACACAAGAGCAGCTGACTTCCTCATGATACTTCCTTGACATCTCTTGTGGTGTCCTTTTAGAGAGAGTGCAGGAAGTGGTAGAGGGACCAGGGAAAAAAATCACACTGTGTCAATTCCAGAAATCACCTGAGGCTCAGATCTGTTAGAGGAGTGAAAACTGTCTAACTTTGGTACCCCCTTTGGCCACTAGAAGGCAGGGCTCTCAGTGTCAAGTAGACACCCAAGCCAGGTAGAGAGGAAGCTCAAGTAACAAAGCAGAGCAAGAAGAGAAAGAGAGATGCAAAGAGAAGTCAGTGTAAGCAAGACAGCAGATCCCTTTGCCCTGCAGAAGTGGTGAGCACCAGACTGAGTTTTCTAATGTATCTATCAATAGGGTGTACAAATCCAAATCACTGTATTCAATTCCTAGTACTTACTTTAAAAAAAAAATGTGATGAAAGAAAGGACACGGTAAAAGTATGTTAGCCGGAAGTCCTTAAGCGTTGCCATGGAAGCCAGCAGTGAGCTTCTGCACAGTACATCATTGGAGGCAACGTGCATAGCAAGGGACAAGATTGGGAAGACTGGGAGAATCATTTATTTTAGGAATTAACATGAAAAATTAGTGCCATCATTTTCAGTGAGTCATCTCCACTGTCTTGAAATATTTATTTTATATCAGACACTATAAGTTTTACAAGATACACATAGACCTTGAGAACAGATGCAGACATGTGGAGAAACAGTTAATTTTTTACTATTCAATGATCCTTAGCTTTCATTCAGTGTAATATTTTGAGTTGGGGTCATCTGTGTGTGCAGTGAACCACATTGCCTTTAACCAGCGCTCATGTACATGTTCTCACTCCGCAGCATCTACCGATTGTTTTCAGCCGACCGGAAGCGAGTTGAAACTGCACTAGAGGCTTGTAGTCTTCCATCTTCAAGGGTGAGCATGCTGTCTTTCTTCTGTCCCCCAACATAACAGTTCTTAAAAGTCCATACTAAATGTACACTGCCTAGTATTTCCTAGACATAGCTTGACACAATTTTTTAAAAAAATGTAAGTAAGATGGGCATGGTGTTACATGCCTATAACCCTAGCAATCAAGAGGCAGAGGCAGGAGGATTACTGCAAGTTTGAGGCTAACCTAGAATACACAACCAGTTACAAGCCATCTGGTAATGGTAATGGTAATACAGGTTATGCATCCCAAACCTGTCTCAAAAATCAAGCAAATAAGACCAACCAAAAAATAAGACAAATGTCAAGAACAATGTGTCAGATCATTGTTAAATTCTCTCTCATATCTCTGGTATTTCAGTTCAGAATGACCCTTTGTTGTTATTAGAAAAAAAATTATCTGGGAATATAATTTATATGACATATAATCATGTTATCAAATGCTCAATATCTTATAAGTTGGGATGTAGAAGCAAAAAGAATAGTATTTCAAGACCACTGTCAGCCACATAGAGAGTTCAAAACTAGGCTAGGCTATGTGAGACTTTGTTTAGGGAGGGATGTAGAGAGAGACACAGAGAGGCAGAGACAGGGAGAGGGAGAGGCAGGGCTGGGGAAGGCTGAAGACAGATAATAAGGAGGGAGGAAAGTCCACTCAATGATATACTTTTTTTTTACATTGTCAGTTCTCAATGTGACTTAAACACATCATTCACAGTAAACTCATTCTTGATGCCTCTTGAGATAATATCTATTAATAATGTTAAACTATTATGCTTTAGAGTTGTGGTTCTCAACCTGTTCCTGTAAGTGAACCCTCACCTATATTTCTTTATGTCAGCAGTTCTCAACATGTAGCTTGTGACCCCTTTGGGGGTCCAATGACCTTTTTCCGGAAGTCACATATCAGATATCCTGCATATCAGATAATTTCATTATGACAGTATCAGAAGTATAGTTATGAAGTAGCAATGAAATAATTTTATGACTGGGGTGACCACAACATGAGGAATTGTATTAAAGCGTTGCAACACTAGGAAGGTTGAGAACCCCTGCTCTAGAAGCGTTTTGAAATCCAAACTTCAACTCATATTTTTAAACCTCTGGTTTTAAGATGTATCAGTTGCAGGCACAGTTGGTACATAGTACAAATACTGTTAAACAAATATGGCACCAATAGTCTTCAAGGCTGTATCTGCAGGTTCTACTGAAAGGGATGCAGAGTTGAAACAGTTTAGAGATTGCTCACTGCTCCCAGGAAGAAAGCCGGGACAGAAAGCCCTCTTTTATTTTTGTTCCTGACTCACAAGACATTCAATATACCTTAGCCATTTAGAGGAACTCCTCTTTGTGTCATTTCTATATGGTTCTAAAAGGATGTGGTGCCATTGCTTCTGGGGGAGCAGAGTCTGTTGCATGAACTCTGTATCTCATGCTTCTGGAGAACTTCTATTCTCTTCCAAACTGCATTCATCTAGTAGCTAAGGAACGAGCAAACCCTTATCTGGATCGCTGGCTATGGTAGGGGACTCGGAGCCTCTGGAGCTCACTAGCCATGTTAAGTTGCACTGAGTGAGACCAGAAAACTACTCTTCAGCTCAGCATGTGATGAAATTTTAATAACGGACTGGGCACTACTTAACATCTCTTGTTACCCAATTCTTGTTGCAAGCGTTAGAAAACTAAATAAGTTATAAGAGATTGCTAGCCGGGCATGGTGCTGCATGCCTGCGATTCCAGCATTCAGGAGCAGACTGGGATCACTGCAAGTTCCAGGCCAGCCAGCCCCGGACTGCAGAATAAAGTAATATCTCCAAAAATAGATGGATAAATAAACAATCAAGTGAACGTTCTTTTAAAAAAATAAAAATAAAAGAGGGGAAAGTTTCGCTAGGTTACAGGAAAGCTGTTCCAATGCCAATTTGGCTCACTTGAGTGCAGATGGCCAAGGATAACTTCTCCTGTACCTTGGCGTGATTTGCTGTACACTCCATCTTCACACCTTGAGCATGCTTTACTGTGCACTCCATCTTCACACCTTGAGCATGCTTTGCTGTGCACTCCATCTTCACACCTTGCTCTTCATTGTGCTGAACAAACTGAAATGCTCCAACATGCTCACAGTTGCTTGTCTGGTAGAAGCTTTGGAGTAGGAAGGACAGAACGATGCAGTTCGTCACTGGCTCCACCTGTATTCCATGTGTTCCTGCTGCACACCCACAAGCATGGAGTGGATGCTGCAGGCCTGGGTTCGAAACACAGTAGAGTATTCTAAGAGAATTAGTCGATAAATATGGCAGCAAATGCACTGGTAAATGGAAAGAGGCGCTGTTCAAAATAGAACAGACACTGCCTCTGAGAAGAAGAAAAGTCTGTTCCAGAAAATGGACAGTGCACAGAGGCCTGGGCCTAGGGAAGAGTATGACCAGCTAAGGAATGACAATTACATACACTCGGTATAAAGAGGAAGTATCGAGATGGGCTTACAGGACATGAGAAGATACTTTTCTCCTTTGTGACCAGTTCTAATCTTATCTTATCTTTCCTTGGTACAATCTTGTGAGATACAATGATCAAAACACTTAACTTCATTTTCTACATCTAGTTAAGTAAGAGAAGAAACATAGAATGAAGCTAAATAGAAAAAAAATCAAATCCATCAATCAATTCTCTGTAAATTGCAATTTTCTGAACAATTGGATTCTGACAATCCAGTCAATAAACATAAATTGAGTCTTTATAATTCAGTATGTCTATTATAGGCTTAAATTTTCCATCCAATATCAACTGGAGACATTTCAGAAGGAAAATGAGATTCAAACAGTAGGAGTTATGTTTAAATTGGGAAAAAATACTTCTCTTTAGCAAATTAAATGTAATGGCAATTTTCTGAAAACAAACTGAAGATATTTTAAGATATAATCAACCTCCATTATAGTTTTGAAAGATCATTATTCATTGTAAACTATAAGTTATTTGGAGGACTTGTAGAATTCAAATGCTTTTTTTAAGCTCCAAAGACCCAAGGCCATTTCAGAGCCAGGAAATAAACGGTTCTATGAGCTGTCGACAGCACATCAAAATGAATTTTCAAAAACCCTTATGGTAATTTCCTATGTACAGAAAAGTAGGTATAAGAAATAGTCACTTGTTAGCTAACAGATTCTGACTGTGTTGCCTAGGGGTATTTAACACATTCCACAGAGGGAAGGGGTTTTGTAAATGGTTGATAAGTCTGCATAAATGGGAGTCGGCTTCCTAGCCAGCCGTCATTCAAACTGGACTTAATTGTGTTCTGTAAATAGACACATTACCAGAAATGCTGTGGATATCCTGTTGAGATTTTTTAAACATTATCTTTGTGCACATTGTTAGGAATAATTTATGCACTTGAACTTGTACCCCGGCTGACATGCTCTGCCGGAATAACACAGTACTGTGGAGGGTTTTCCTTCAGAGAGTACAGTTGCTAGCCTCAAGTTACCCTAATTGGTGAAAAGTAATTCGGTCCCTAAAATGAGACAAAGCAATTACTGTCCTTCTATTAATAATCCAAACATATTTTCCGGTGAGACCTGTGAAAACCTTTCCATATTCAGAAAATTACTATTCTACCCACAAGCTCTCTGAGAACTGAAAATAATTTATCAGTACTAAATTCCCTTGATTTAAGGGTTATTAACTTAAAAGGGCTTGGTGACATTTGGAATTACTTTGTAGTCTTGGCATGACATTGGCCTGTGGGACTGCATTTTAATGAAGAAAATAAATAAAGCCATATATTTGTTTTAGATATAAATTTTAGCAAGGTGGGTAGGTAGGTGTGTATTAAATACATAGGGAGACAGTTATCTTCTATTTAAAGATTTGCACATATCTTACTAAGAAATGTTATGGGGTGTATAAAGGAACATCTCTGTGTAACTGTAGTTAATTGCCTTATTTCCTGAAGATAAATCAAAATTATGGCCATTTTATGGTTGTGGTTCTTAAAACTATATCAAAATTATATTTCAAACTCACAAGAACTCAGTATATAATGAGCAATTTATTTGTAGGGATTCCATGGACTCTGGCTAATTCAACTTTTGTTTCATGGTTCTATGACAAAAATATTACAGAGTGTCGAACATCTAAAATTTACTAGGTAATAATTCAGTATATATGTACATATATGGAATTGAAGAGGTGGCTCAGCAGTTAAGAGCACTTGCTGCTCTTCTAGAGGACCCTATTTTGATTCTCAGCACCCACATGGTGGCTTACAACTGTTTGTAACTCCACTCCCAAGGCATCTGACACCTTCGTCTGGTCTGTGAGCACTAGATACACACACGGTATACAGACATGCATGCAGGCAAAACACCCATACACGTAGAATACAATGATTTATAAAACCATGACAATCATGATGATAAATCTATGGGCTTTACTGGAGTCTGCGTCAATAAAATGTAGTCCAATATTCTTTGAATATTAAATACAAGTTCATAGCAAAATGATTCTTTAAATACTCAAATGTGTGACAAAGATAAAAAGCACCATCCTAAAACAAATATGTAGACGTGGTACAGAGTATCACCCAGACGTGGGGCAGGACCTTGCTTTAGTGCACTGGGCTTTGGGCTGCCCCTTTAGTTAAGCAGGTAAAATGAACCTGTACTTACCTCTTCACCAAATCCAGGGAGAGAAAAAGAAAGTGTGTGAATGAGGTCAGTGAAATTCAGACTCATTTCACATGTAAAAATCTGAGAATTGCTCGGAGCTGGCAGCAAATATCTCCAAGATGCTTGCGCCTTACTTTCAATGATAACATTATTTCAATGATAATTTATTTTGATCATTATACGGAATACCTTTTTCTCCTGTTTTCACCCACAGACTCTAAAGACCTTGGGTCAGTTGGGCAGGGGAGAAATGAGATGAAGAAAACCAGCTTCACGGAAAAGCTTTCCACGTGCTAAGTTTCAACCTGCAAGGAAAATAATATTGCTCTTATTCAGGTTATCTCACTATTTGACCACTGTAATTGAAAGTCCTAGTTCACAGCCAAAAAAACAATGCCTAGATTTTAGCAAAATATATGTCTATGAAAGTATATGTCTGCCCACAAGTGTGGTTAAGCCTGCTTTTCCAAAGGAAGTATAATATTCAGCCCATGATAGCACAGTTCAAGTTAGTAAATATTCTGTAGCTGCTGTATTCCACATGCTGGAAACTAAGCAGCTAGCATGCAAAGTTCTTGCCTGGACCCAAGGAACAGAGCTAATTGTGCAGCTGAGGACAGGATACAGTCAGGATTGTTGAAACAGGAGATGAGCAGAATGAGACCGCAGCACAGGGTCAGGAGAAAACGCAGTCCTTGTGGAAGGTATGGCTATTCGGGGAGATACAAGGAAAGAGGGATCAGGAAAGTCAAGGAAGACCACTATTGATATCCTTAGGTAAGATCGATTTCTGTGTCTGCCAGCTGTGCTTACAGAGCTAGATTTACTAGGAGAGTGGGGCATCCCACTTGGGGAATACTTGAGTTGGCCAGCAGTACCATTAAATATTTCTTGCAGATGATTTGAAATATTGTTCTCCCAGTCAAAGAGTTGGGTCAATAGAGTCATTTTGACTCTCTAGAAAAGAAGTGTGTGCCCAGCTCAGCCCGAAACTGGCATCCTCCAGGCAAAGGTATTTCTTTTCATAAACAAAATGGAATTCTGGAATCCTGCACCCGGGTTGCTCATATCTCCAGTTTATGAGTGGCAAAGCACCAATAAAGCCCTTCAGCAGAATTTTCCACTGCTCTTGGATTTGAGTCCTTGAGTTCGTGATTTCAAAGCTCCGTCTAAGGAGACCGAGTCTGGTAGTATAAAGATCTTTTGTGGTCTTACGTCGTCTTTTGTTTTCTAAAATTCATTTTTTGCTAAATATTATTTTCCCTCCTATAAATGGACTTAACCAAGGAAATATTACTTCATCTTTTTCATTCCACAAACATGGGGCCTCTACTATCTGCCAAGTGGTGAGGTAAATTTTCTGGTCTGTTAGCAAGCAGTGTACGATTTCAGACAATGATTTTTTTTTAAGTTTTTCGATTAAAATACAGCAAAAAATACATGAATACGTTTAAAAGGAAGGGTGTTTCTTTGTTGTAGGGGCTTGAAAATAAAAATAATCGTTGGAGCACATACCTGAAATAGGAAGCCGCATGAAAAATCCCTTCCTGTTAACAAAGGCTCAAATACATGCTTCCGGTTTCCATGGCAGCCCAGCCAAACAGAAAACATAAGCTGTAGAAGTGGCCTTTTATATCAATGACTTGCTTCCCAAACAATAGGACAATGAGCAATCAGTAGCAAATGATGACTGGTGCTGTCCTGCCTATGAAAAGCGTCTTACAACCAAATAACGTAAGCCAGTACTCTCCATGGCCTCTGCATCAATTCCCGCCCTGCCTGAGTTCCTGCCCTGGCTCTCCTCATTGATGGACCTTTACCTGAACGTGTAAAATGAAATAAACCCTTTGCTTCCAGAGCAAGAAAGAGGGAGGGAGGGAGGGAGAAAGTTAGAATTTATGTTTTTCTTTTCACATTATCTCTAGAGTCATCACTTTTAAAAATAGTCAAAGAAGGCCATATACCTTCTACCATACTTTCAAAGATGAAGACTCAACCCAAAACAAAAAGACAGAGCAGAGAGAAGGAGGAGAGAGAGAGAACAGGGAGAATAAGAATGATTCGGGAAGGGGCTTCTTCACTCAGTCAAGGGAATAAGAACCTGAGTTTGATGCCCAGACCCACATAAATAATCCAGATCAAGTGGTTCATGCTTATAATCCTAACATTGGGAAAGCGAACACGGGGGATCCCTCGGGTTCGCTGGCTAGCCAGTGCAACCTTCCTGGTGAACTCTAGGCCTATGAGGGACCCTGTCTCAAAGCACAAGGTCAACGGCTCCCAAGGGACAACTCCCAAGGTCTTTCCTCCATGTGCCCAAGTGCGCACACATGTATACTTACACATGGAGGGAGGGAGGGAGAAGGAGGGACAGACAGGCAAGTTAAACATTTCTACGGAACAGATTCTATTCTCCTATATGTACCATACTTGAGTAAATATTTCTAAGAAATTGTCTTAACATCTGTTTAGTAGGATAAAATTCTTAACCTTTAATTAAAATTAAACATCAACAGAAAATAATGTTGACACGCGGAAGTCAGGTTCTAAATGAAGGCTACAGCTGGCCTAAGAGATGTGTTCTCAGTGTCTACTCTGGTTGGGAAAAAAAAAGAGAAGAGGGGAAAGGAGGGAGGGAAGAATGGAAGGAGGGAGGAAGACAAAGAGGGAGGGAGGGAGGAAGGGAAGGAGGGAGGAAGACAAAGAACAGTCAGAAAGGAAACTAAAGAAACTGAGACCTCCTTCTTACCCTGCTGTTTTGCTCCCCAGAATGATTCCATACCTCAAGAGGATTTCACTCCAGATGTATACAGAGTTTTCCTGAACAACCTTTGTCCCCGACCTGAAATTGATAACATCTTTTCTGAATTGTAAGAGGATGCATTTTATTCTACTTTTTCTAGCTGCTGTTGATAGCGTGGCTAGGGCAGGATTTTGTTATGACTAGAAAGAGAATGTCCAAACGCAGTGCTTCTGAGTATTGTGATGGAGATGTTGATCTTACAAGCAACTGCTGCTTTAGTGAGCAGATATTGGCTATAACACATGTATAGCAGGGTGTAATTCTAGTGTGCTCAGCTGGCTTGGTTTAGATTGAATATTATAGATACAGCAGGAAGTGTCCTGATACACAGAAGAACAATTCACATAGCAGAAAGATCCCTAAGTGAACGCTACTTGTATCTCTCTGAACCACATCAATATAAAGAAACATAGGTTACTAAGAACCCACAGGCAGCATATTATTTTCTATAGCCATTGTGCCTTTTTAGGTTTATTTTTATTTAATAAGCATGAGTGTTTTTTCTACGTGGATGTCTGTGTGCCATGGGTATGCTTAGTTCTCTCAGAGGCCATAAGAGGGAGCTGGAAATCCTGAAACTGAGTGACAGATAGATGTGAGCCACCATGTGGGTGCTGGAAACTGCCTCTGGGTCCTTTGAAAGATTAAGTGCCCTTAACTGCTGAGCCATCTCAGCAAGCCCACAGGTATTGCCTCTTTTTTAATTTTGTGTTTATTGGTGTTTTGCCTGCATGTATAACTGTGTGAGGGTGTCAGAAGTTCTGCAACTGGAGTTACAGACAGTTGTAGGCTGCCATGTGGGTGCTGGGAATTGAAATTGGGACCTCTAGAAGAATAGTCTGTGCTCTTAACCAATGAGTCATCTTTCCAGCACAGTTATTGCTTCTTAAAGAGATTCAGACATGAAAGGAGAAAAGAAACAGTTAGGTAGAAGTACCAGTTTCTCTCTCTTGATATACCAAAGTCTACATAATGGCAAAAAGTTGATCCAAATTTGGTAAAGAGAGTAAAATGTCAGGCAGATAAATCATGCTGCTGCATGTGACACTGTCCACTGAATGTTTTTGCTTTGTGATTTCATCACCATTAAGCATTTATTGAGTTTCCCAATAGTTGCAGCATTGAATTGTTGTGGGTTGCCAATAAAACTGACATTTGAATAACACTATTCAATAAACACCACTATTTTGAGGACAAAATGCGATTGTGTTTAGTGCTACATCCACAAACTTGTATAAATCATTATTATCATTATCTGAAAGGAGATGACTCAGGATTCCCACTATGAATTTGAAGCTAGCCCGGACTGTAGTGAGCACCAAGATAATCAAGGGAACAGAGTGAGTTCCCACCTCCAAACACAAACACAAGCAAAGGAAAGAGGTATAGACTCTTACAAGCCTGGAACTTTAATGGAATGAAAAATGTATTCAAGCACATTGTCTTTTTTCTTTTTTTAATTAATGAATCAGCCATATTTAAGTGATAAGTATAACAGAGGACACTGCTAGGCATCTGATGCTTTTCCAGGCCTTTGAGAAGTGTGGGGTGGAAGCACCAGGTTTTGAGGGCACAGTGAGAATTTTGTTGTAGACTGCCCAGGTATGACGCGATTTTATTTCTCTGTAGCTAATTGCATAAAGAAGATGAGGGAAGTGGTGTGATTTTTTGTGTTTCCATTGCTTTCAGTGGTGCCAAAAGCAAACCATACCTGACTGTCGAGCAGATGATGGACTTCATCAACTTTAAGCAGAGAGATCCCCGGCTCAATGAAATACTTTATCCACCTCTGAAGCAAGAGCAGGTCCAAGTGTTGATTGAGAAGTATGAGCCCAACAGCAGCCTCGCCAAGAAAGGTAGAGGCTTCTTCGTGTCTGGACTGTCCTGTGGTTTTTTGTTTGTTTGGTTGTTTTGTTTTGTTTTGTTTGTTTGTTTGGGTTTTTTTTTTTTAGCCTGATAACGTTTTTTTTTTAACTTTGGTGATTTCCTTTTCTAGTTATATCTATGCGTGCATGCCACATATTTTTAAATTTCTCACCATTTGGTTCTCTAAATTTGCTTAGTAATTTAATGCATTTTTCTCATGGAGGAAATTTATTAACTCAAAGGTTGCCCTTTTAAAGAAAAAGTTTTCTTTTAAGTTCTCTAAAGTGGCCCATGAGTTTGTGGGTTTTTTTTTACTGTTTGTTTTTCTCCAAGTCTCCAAAACTAAAGAGAATATTCAGTCTGCTATAATCATTTCTTATTCCAGTTTACAGCAACTGATAACTTTTTTCACTTGGGAGAATATTCTGAAATGTGGCCTTATAGTTTTTTTTAATTAAAATTTTGGGTAGATTTAAATCAAAATCTTGGTAGGAAAAAAACAGGACAAAAATAGCAACAGAATGGCAACTCTAAGTTACCTTAGTTAGTTAGTTTTAAACATATATAGTTTCTTATTCTGGAAAAAAAATGAATTAACAAAATATGATCATGAAGAGTTAGTTGCTGGTTGTTCTAACTATATTGATAGCATAGTCTTCAAAACGTCTACCTTCATATTGAATGTCTTCTGGATGGAAAGACCCTCCTGCAGAAGCCTAATCTGTCATGACTAAACTTACTGCAAATGTCTGTTGTGTCCATAGGGCAAAATAAGCCATAGTGAACCAGTTACTGAGAAGAAAGGATTCATGTGCTAACATACAGGCACTTCATGTAGTGACAGAAATAATAATCACAAGCCACAGATGAGAATGCTTATCAGAAATTTTTTTCCATACATTGTTCTTGTTCTGGAATCAGCTCTCTCAAAAGAAAAGAGAGGTGTGTATTAAGCATAGAATTTTTTTTCTTCAATCTGTTAACTGGGAATTTATAGACAACTTTTTTTCAGCCTCTCTATTTTTTTCCCCAAGCATTTTGACGTTGTTACTGGCATTATTCTTATTGCTGCCATTTAGGTGAGGTCAGAAAAAAGAAGCAACGGTTCAAACGTGTGCCTTATCATTGGCAGGCCTGGCCAGCAAGCGTATGCAAATATGTCCTCTTTTTCTCTGATGTCTGCTCCTTATTTTCAAGCTAGGGGTAACTTCTTGATGAAGGCTAGCATTCCCATTAGGAGAGCTAGACTTTTCCAAGAACGGCTTCTACTCAGTGGTAGAACAATTCCAGAAGGACTTCTAAACATGATTAGCTCATAATGGTGTGACAAGAAATGTTTGAAACCAGCAAGACTCCCAGCAGCCTATGGAGTCTGCTCACGAGCCCCTTAACCGCAGTAGCCAGAGGCAGCCCAGAGCATCATCTTGACATTCAACCTCTTGGCACACAAGGTGAAGAGGGAAAAGTTTTCCACTACCTGTTTGTGAGTTTGAAATAAATACTATCCACTAAAAAGTGTCCGGCCCAGGTGATCTGATGACCAATACTCATTCTACCCAGTATATTGAAGTGCAGGAGGTTGGTTTCAATTCTTTTGATGTGTTTCATGTAGCTGCTCTCTAGATTATAAGATGCTTGGGCCTTAGACTTTTCTTTTATTTCTCTCAAGACCTATAAAGTGAACCTGCTTAGGATGCAATACTTATTATAGACTAGGAGGTGAAATCTAATCACTTCCAGAAAGCGTTTGTGCCCCAACATAAGCGCCATCTCCCGTAATAGTCTTTACAGAGATTAGGTTAGTTCCTCTCCACAGATGCCTCAAGCCACACATGGGAAGGGCAAAAGGCTTCTCATCTAATACTGAGACGAATAGAGATGCCTAACCACTTCCTAGCACAAAGAGAAGTACTTTCTGTCACCCCCAAGAGACAGAAATGATGAATAAGCAGATCTGGTTGGCTAGAGCTGTCACTCTTCCCCCAGTGAAGAAATTCAAGTCTCCAGTAGTCAACTAGTCAAATTATAAAAGATCTTAGTTGGGCCACTTCATTCCCAAAGTGCAGACACGGAACAGAAATTCTGATGACTTCCCTGTGTTAGGGGGAAGGTGAAAGGATGTGAACTGGGTGAGTTTAACAACTAATAGACCTATAACAACATTATGACTTAAATTAGGTCAAAATAGAAATGATACTGGAATATCAGGGTGTTTTTGAGAATGACAGTTTCCCTGGAATCTCGGGTCCTGAAAACTCACTGGCTATAAAAGCTGCCCAAGCCAGTGGTTTGGAGGATTCTTATCTCATAAGTTAAAGGAATGAAATACACAGACCAGAGAGAGAGATTTTGTTTGTTCGTTTTATTTTGGCTTTTTATTTTTTGTTTTTTATATATATTCATACTTGGGAGCTTAAGCAGGAGAGAGGTCCATACTATTTGAGCTAAGCCAGCAAAAACATCAGCCACAGGGATGGGAGCTTTAGAAAAATGGAAGGAAACTCAAGAACCAGAAAATGCGTATTAGGTTATTCGGTTTTGGCCAGCATCGAAAAGAAAAACAAAAGAGGAAAACAATATTAGGAAAAGTAATGCATTTTGAACAAAATTCAGAAAGGCAGGTGAATTTCTCTTGACACACCTAGAAAACTAATTATTCCTCCTACCTTGTTAATGTGGCTTAAGGTAGACCCGCCTTCCTGAAGGGTGGTCCATTGGCCAGAGGACTGAGCTCCTCAACTGAACTGTTTAAGAGATGATGGCATGTCTCCACCTAGGCATAGATTCCATTCTTCACCACGATGGCCCGGGAGAAAATCTGTAAGCAAATATGTATTCTTCAAGAATTTAGCAATAAAAAAGAAAATAAAACAAGCAAAAAAACTATTGATGAAAAAGCAAGAGATGACAGACCAAAAGATAAAATTTTCATTTCTGAAGACTTGTACTCAGTGTACATCATAGTGTCAAAAACCTGTAATCCCTATATTTGGGAGTCTGAGGTAGGAGGATCTCAAATTCAAGGCCAGTCTGAGCTACACAGCAAAGCACTTTTTCAACAAAAAGCAAAGAAGGGTTTGAAGGTGTCTACTCTTTTCAAGAAAAGTAGGATATAAATATGAATAACTTTCATTTTTCAAATGCTAACATGGCTTTACGTCGTCTGAGGCCTTGTCAAACTAAGATTCTTGGTTCTGCAATTCTAACAAGGTAGTGTGCAGTGCTAGCCCAGCCTGCAGGAGCCAGGCTGAGCAGTCAGGCTTTGAGAGATACTGAGGAAGGGTAGAAAGCTAGAAGATGGAGTCTGGAAGGAAGGTCCAGGAATTTTCCAGGCTTAATTAGCTTCAACAGGAGTGAATGGAAGATTTTCTAGGGATCAAGGGTACCATTCTTTTGTCTTTTCATGCATGCCTTCAACAAAGGTGTTTTGAACGTTTTTATGTAATTATCACCAAGAAAAATTAAGACAAGACTTACACAGTCTTACAGGCTGAGTCTGCAGACATCACAGGACAGGCAAGAACATCTGGACAAATGTCCGGGACAGTTGTTTTGCTGAATTTCCCATAGCTATACAGAATAAATCGTTTTCAATAACAGTATCTATTTTTTAAGCCAGCTACTGAAGTGAGAGAGCACTGTTGGACTTCAGCTGTTTTCTTCCTGAACTGTTTGTGTGCTGCTCACACTCTCACAGTAACAAAACTATTTATTTACTTTGACTTCATAGTCCAAAGGATAAGGATTTTGAGATATATATATATATAGGGCAGAGAAATTGCAATGCTTTAGAAACTAAAGGTTTGAGGTCAAGTGTGTTGGCGAACACCCTTAATCCCGGCACTGGGAAGGAAGAGTCGGGCAGATAGATCTCTTTGAGTTCAGGGCCAGCCTGGTCTGCATAACAAGATCTAGGATAGCCTGGACTGCAGAGAAAGACTGTCTCTAAAAAAAGAATAAGAAAGAAACTAAGAGATTGAAATATTTTCTCAAATGATGACAATCGGCGTTTTTAATTTGACTTTGTAGTTCATAACCTATTGTATTTGACTTAGGATTTCTTTTCTTAAAAAAAAAGTTTCATCTCTCTTTTATTAGGTAAGGATGAATGAATATTAACAAAGTACAGTTTCAGAAAGCTTTATCCATAATGAGGTGACTTTAAAGATACACATGAGGGCTAGGCCTGTAGTTTAGTGGTAGAGTACTTGCCTAACAGGAGGGAAACCCTGAGTCCCATCCCATGCACTACCAAACACAACGGGTAATTGAACTGATACAGCAGCATTAGTGGGTGTTTCAAGCTCTCTCTTTACCATGGAGTCCACCCTCTAAAATTACTTATAGACTACACTATATAAATGACTCCCTGCTTTGTTGTAGTTAAATCATAAAAAAAAAAAAATGAAGCTATGTAACACCCATTTGTATCTAATCAGAACATAGGGAGTTAATGGTTTGAGAGTTAAAATAAACTCGGAATTAGGATGACACAATTTGGTTTTAAGCAAAGCATTGCAGGTTTGGGTCCAGCAGGCATTCTATCTCGAAGCAGAAACACGGTAACATTGTTTGCATCAGGAGGAATAACTCTGTTGTGTTTCCAGTGCTGTTGAATCCTGACAAGGTTCAACTATGCTGAAACATTATTAATACCAGGAAGCAGACAGAGTGTGACAAGGTTCTGAGCTTTCTAGTCCCACAATCTGTATTATTAGGAGGCAGTGCTCCTTCGGTGGAAAACAACGGAAATGTAAATTGGACTGAAACACAGAAAGGGATGTACTTGTCCGACACGCAGAGAGTCCGGGCTGGGTTTCAGTGGCTTCTAGCATGCGAATCCAAGAGCTCTAATGATGGGATTGAGAATCGTTGTTCCTCGAGGACCTCGTGGTTTCACTTACATACAGAATTGAAAAAGCAACGCCATGGAAATGCAGAGTGCAATGCTAGTTAGGTGAGGCTAGGGGGTAGGGTACGGGAGGGTTGC